TATATATATTATTAATACAGTAAAACACCTTTGATATTATGAAATATTGTAAGTGATCATATTCATAAATTATTAAATATTTTATATTGATTTATTAAAAATTTATCTTACATGCATATTATTATTTTTTTTATTGGGCTACTGTAGTCTAGAGGTGCAAGTATTCTGTGGTTTTAGTTAGCTTATAATGTTTTCCATTAACTTTTTATTTTAAGATTTTGCGCAAAGATGAGAAATAGAAGAGACGATGTTTATAAAAGATGTGAATAACCTAATAAATGATAAATTTACAACTGCTTTAATTTAATTTCTAGTGGTTCTTTCATTCACTTTTTTTGAATCATTAATAATGATAGAAAATAAAAATAGAAAATTTGATTAATACCGTGCGACTGTCTGTTTCTGTCTTGGTAATTCTAAATCCCGCATTGGATAGTGACATTAATTATGGACAAGGCTACCCAAATGAATACTCTCATGAAAGAGAGTATCAAAATTCAAATAAATTATACTCATATTGCTTGAGTCTCACATGCAAGCCATCGACACAAAATTCAAGGTGCCACACAAATTGTGGCTCATTTAGGCATACAAGTGAAAGCCAAAGGGAGAGAGAGATTCATAACTCCAAATATATAACCAAAATTTGAATCATTTTAATCGCCATCGGATCTATGACACTTCTACCAGCGAACAAAGGGCGAAAATGAAAGCACTTCTATTAATACATTACATGTATTTTAATACTAAATATAAGCTTTCAAATTTCAGGGCAATTTCAAAGCATGTATATTTTTGGGGCTATTTTTCAACTCAAAATTATCTCAAAAATATTTGTTCAATTATTTTAAGGAGCATGCATGGATTTCAAAACTAAGTTGTTCAGCTCAAATGCTCGCATGTACTCTGACCATCACGTTAAATGATCGATCATGTGGTACAAGAATGTTGCGCGAGCTTAAATTAAATTAAATCAAGATGCCCCACTTTGAATAATGTGTTATTATCAAAAATACAACATTTACATGTCCTCCGCCGCTTAATCTAAAGCATCGGAGAATGTTGAATGGGTTAATTGCATGTTAATGATAAGATTAAATCCACTTTGATAAGTGTGCATGTATTTTAAAAGTTTTACAAAATTCTTCTCTTCAAAAGCCAAACCGGAAATTTTTAGGTCACATACTCTCAAACGAGCCACCTAGCCTGTAGAGTGAGGTCATAAGTTCCACCTTAGGCAATTATGGTCCTCCTCCTTACAATGATAAAAGTTAACAAGACCAAGTCCCCAATGTGTTCTTCTCCTTTTATAAGGACTAAAGTTGACAAATGTGAGCACACATTGGGCTAGTCCAAGCCTTCTCATAAAGACTAGAGTCGATATAACTAATGCTTGTAATAGTGATATTCAAGTAATGACTCTCCCCGAAGATGGTCGTGTTGATCGTGAATTTCAACCTGAGAGAATTGTTTATGTAATTAAAATTTTAAACCACAAAACTCTAAAAAAAATAATAATAAGAAAAAGTTACTAAAAGCTAAAGAGCAAAAAGCCATTCAGTCTCCAATAACGTTTGTCGAGGGTGATAAATCTAACGTTAACTTAAGATCACATAGAGTAAATGTCATATAAGGTATACTACTAAATTTAAACACAAAAGAACTATGTCACTAATGACATGGCCTAAATCCTTTATCCGAGGGGTTTTGTTGTCAGATGGTACCACAAAAAGAGATTACAACCAGAGCCCTCCGACCGAGTGATTTAGTGCCAAATTGTACTATATATTATTGTCACAGGTGTAGCCCGTATCCCAATGACATTTTTTCCCTAGTGAATCATGAATCATATGATATATGCTAAGATTGACTTATATTAGTCTCCTTAGACAAACATTCATCCCAAGTCTGCAAGATTCTCTTAGACGAAACAGCTCATAGTTACTGACAAATTTTTCTGCCAGCTTGGGTCCATTACCTTCTCTGATTAAGTAGAGCAGGGTCTATGACAACCTAAGACAACAAAACCATAAGACCTTGATCGGGTGTATCATCATTTCCCCCACCATCTTCTTTATAATTGTGCTAGTACAATTTCAAAAAATTTAAATTTTATATCTGATGCTACTATATGCTAAATTTGAATACTTAGTGTCTAATGACGAGTCTTAATCGAAAGTAATATCTCATTATCAAAAGGGGTAATTGTCCATAAAGGCTTGCACCAATGAGAAATCTTGAACACCAGATCTTGATGTTATCATAAAATAGGGCGAAATCTCTGGGTAGTATCTTATCTACTATCTCATTTGTCTTCTGAAAATTTGACCCGGAACCTCACGGTAAAATCTCATTCTCATCATTTTATTCCTTTTCGAGGGAGATCGGGGTATTCGAATTTTCGGATCCCACAACTTTCTAGCAAGGATATTCATTCATGGAATTTGATGATTGTTGGCCTATCTAAAAGTGGTTTCTGAAGTAGTGGAATTATTTTACCTAATGGTTTAGTTAGTTTTGTGCCTAGTGAGGCTTCCTGTATAAAGAAAATGGATGGTTTTATGGAAAAAGAGAACCATGGTTATATTTCTCAGGACAATATTGGATGAAGAAACTTCAATTATCAACACCCTTTTGATTCATTACGTGAAGATTGGAGACATTTCCATTTCCAATAGCAACCATAACCCACTTTACACAGTTTGAGGTAACCATTTACTTAAAACGATAATTCAAATACTCAATAACTCCATTGCTTAAACAATTAGAGAAGTATTAAATGTTTACACACATAAATTGAAAAATCAAGCACCATGCAGCAAGAATATGCTCGTTTGTTAGCTTTAGTATATATTAAGATGTACAATTAGTGGTTGGACTAAAGATTCCTAATTATGTTATTCAGGATTAGTTGGCTATGTTTATTTTGTAGTTAAATAACGCAGTTCTGTTGATAGCGACTTCTGAAAAAAACAAAAAATGTATGAGAAATATGCTACGTACAATAGTTGTAAATTGAGGCAACCAAGTGATACAGCTTCATAAATATAAAGCTAAATGACATGAGTTTATCTTTATAACGATAGGAGGAGAATCAAATGCAAAATAGCATCCACCTTTTAGAATCTTCCATGTTATTTTAGAATTAAAATAGAATCTTATAGACATGAATTGCAGGAAAGTTCCTGGAGTATTGACGAAAACAACAGAGAAAAGATACAAGATCCTCACCCTAACCCGGGCGTTTTCAACAAGAGTAATAAGGGGGATGATCTTCAAATAGCGATCGATCTCACTTTGGGCCTTCCTAAATTGGTACACGATGTTCCAGCCCATGGCCAGAAGATAGAGATAGCTGCGTTCCTGACAACTACTCACAAGAATATAGGATCTTCGCAGAGCGTCCTCAAGCTGTTCAAGGGGCTCCCTTGTCTCCGGATACTTTTTAAGCTCAGAGAGCTTCAGCTGCTCCAATAGATTACCAATTAGTCTTAAGTGCTTCGCAAACTGCCGGCAGTTCTTCTTATGCATCCGAGCAGTGGCTGCAGCCTGCACAATCATACCAATTAATTGCGTTGCCCCAAATCCCACAAGCTGGCCGACATTGGCGAGCTCTCCCAGTTGATCCCAAGACGCCATTTCACAGCCAATCAGAGAGAAGATTCCCTCTAAAACACGACCAGCATCAAAGCATAGTAAGGCAAGATGTACATATTAGTTTTGCAACACGGAAGACGTCTCACAAGCCATTTGTTCCAAAAAAAAGGAAAAAGGACTCGAGTGTTTCTATCTTGCACTCTCGTTCCTTTTTCTTTTCACTACAAAATCAATCCGTAAACTGCAGTGAGGCCAAGCTTTAGAAAAAGGCTTCAAAACCAGTGAATTCTTTCGATCTTTTTTCCGGCAACCCTCAATCTTTCCGGATCAAAAAAAACTTTAACTTCCTCGCAAACTTTCTAGCGTTTCAACTAAAGAAGACGGAATTTATAGAAGAATAATACAGCTTCTCTGGAGCTCGCATTTTCAGCATTGACAAAACTCATCAGCAGACGATACATACGCAACATTGCAAAAGTGAACAATTCCGAAATCACAGAGAAAATTAAGATCCAACAGATCCGTCGCCGGAAAAGCGAAAGCTATCAGCCAAGCATGACAATGTTGCCCTAAAAGCTTCGTGGGAAACAGAGGCTCACCCCATAAGATACAAAGAAGGAGCAACTAAAGTACCTCAACAGCCTATTATACTTCATTTCTCTTTCTTCGACGTGAAATCGGTCCATCTCAGGAATCGCTGGGCATGAGCTCATCGTATCTTGCTGAGCTTGCTCAGGGTAACCATATACCCATATTACCCTTTGTTCAGTGAGTTATGTACAGGAATAGCCTCCAGGTAAACGGTTTCTTTTGCCTGGCATGGCAAACGTTGTAATTACTTGCAAGTAGTGTAACTATTCTAACGCCCCCATGTGCAAAGACTACATGGGGCTCCCCGCCACAGAACCCAACGGTTTGGCTTATATTTTCTTGTGTAGCCAAATGTGTAGCGTCACGGGCACTGGCATGGGTCCCGCAATGTGAGCCACTGGTAATGTCGCTCATCCTGCACATCACTAGAGGGATGATTCTTTTTGTGTTGTATTTTAATAACAAATAAATTAAAATATACTTCAAATCTATGAGTTCTAATGAAAGGGACCGTCTTCCACCTTTCAGTTTCCACTCTTTCCACCTAATATGCCGCAAACTAAGAACCAGTTGAACGGTCCTGATAAGCTTATGCATGATCGGACGGTATTGAATTTGGAGGAATGGTGGAATGCCACCCAGCTTTGCGCTTCTCGGAGGGAGCCATGTTACCCGAGTTTCTGTTATAGATAATTTATTATAAATTTATTAAGGAAATTTGATCGATCATATATAATAATAATAAAATATTTTATAATAAAAAAAAATGTACACACCAACATTACAGAAATAAATTTCAAAACAATCGAACAGCTAAAGATAATGACACAACAATTAAAGTATTAAATTCAAGAGACATAATATAAACTAGTTGTCTAGAAAATTAACACTCATTAAATCCACTCTTGACAAATCTTATCAGAAAAAATATTTATGGTCTCAATCGTCTAAGATCCCTAATAGTCTGTAAAACGTAACCAGCAGACCGACTGCTCGTACCTTGGCGAAAACGATCTACACTAAGTCCATCGCTTTGGTCGCCCTATCCAAATTCAAATTGTAATATAAAAGTAATATTAAATCAGTACATTAATTGCATTAAGAGTGGTTTCCATAATTTTTCTCTCTTTTCTGTAATTAATGGATTAAGAGTGGCTCCACAATGAATAAAGGGACCCTCGGTCAGAGAACTTCTCTCGGGCATCTCTACTATGAATTTCCTGACACTGTTCTTCTCTCTCTACTTCTCCTCCTCCCGACTCTAACTCTTAAGGCGTCCATTTCCAAAGGACAATTCTGAATCCAGCATCATGAAAGGTGGTGTGGTGAGCGTGGACATGCCCTAGACGAGAAGCGGAGTCAACTACGAAGGAGAATCCTTGCAGAAAGAAATAGCGCCCAAGTAATTCAATTGAGAGATGGCACGTCAAGACATACAGGAAGAAGTACAATCACTGTGAGCGCAAAAAATGGACTAGTTTGAGGCTCTTTGTGCGGCCAAGATCCAGTAGTTTGCTCGACCGCCGCCCATAGAGAGAGAGTCTCGGGGAACCCGCCCTCAAAAGGCTCCCATTAATAATTCGCTAGTACCCCAAGGTTAGCCCGATGATCGGCCAACCAAAGGACCACGTGATTATTGTCGCATCAACATTGGTCGCCCAACATCGGTCGGACCGAGTGGGAATGCTTGATCTACCTGTTATGGGTAGTGCTTTCTCCCGAAGAATCCTGAGAACCATACCTCCAGTGACACTTAGGACTCTTCACTTCAAGACACGGTCGATCACCAAGCTTCTTTTGACTCAATTGTCGGAGTAATACAGATCGATGACGCCATGAAATGACGGTTGTTCCTGAACATGTTGAAAGAAGTCGAGTTATGATGGTTTAATAGTCTTTCATATGGGATCATTCCATCCTTCATTGAATTATGGAAGCTCTTCCTGGCACACTTTGCTAATGAGCAAAAATCGAGGAAGAACACAGAGACCCTGCGATCAAGTAGGGGGAGAATGAAAGCATACAAGCTTATATCACTAGTTTCCAGATGAAAATACAGGAGGTGAAGAACATGGAGCCTCTCATCACTCGAACCGCCTTAAAGACGCTAATACATTAATATAAGTTTAGAAATATACTTAAGCCTGTTGACCTCACTTTTGGGTGAGGGTTTTGGGTCTTTTCTTTAATGACTAGGATCTAGCCTTAGGACTTTCCTAATGATTATTTTAGCATTTTAGAAATGGTACCTACCTTCTTCTTAGACATTTCAACCAAATCTTTGCTCTCTATGTTGGTTCTATATGTGATCAATAATTTTTTTTAATACAAAGATTAGATATTACATAAGAGAACCCTGATGAGAATTTCTATATGACCTTTGGACCATAAGAAAGTCTTGCACTGTTCTACACCTTTTTTGGACTCCAATACATTGCATCATCATTCATAATCACCATGATCATCATAAACATTACATTTTCATATCACAATGTTGCATTCATTACACCCATGGGGCTGACCAAAATTATTTGAACACAGTTTACCCTAAAATACCTCACTTGAATATTCTAATTTTTCCAAATTCCCCAAAGCTGTCATTGAATCACAAAATTCACTTCAAACCATTTGATATTATCATTTAGACCATTTGATACCAAAAAATTGCAAAAATACCCAATTTTCCCAAAAATTACCAAAATGTCCTTGGACCCCTGAGATATCAACTTTTCCAAAATCTCTCAGAGTCACCAATAAATTCTAAAAATCACACCAAATCATTCCTTATGTCTTCCTGAGGATTTTGACTATAATATTGTCATACTTCCGGATAATTTTTTGACACTTTGACACCAAAATAACAAATACTTAAAAAATGCTTCGGGGATCATAAAATCGTTCACATTGATCGAAAATGACCTCGAACACTGTCGTTTGACTCTAAATTTCATCATGAACCACCTCGAGCCTTTAAATCAACATTTTGACAACTTTGACCAAAGACGACCAAAATTACCAAAATGTCACTTATGGACAAAAAATTTTCAAATTCTCCAAAATCATCTCAATCATTCCTAAAATCAATTCTTGACCATCCATTGGGTCTAATTTGACCAAAATCACTCACTTTGACCAAAATCTCCAAATTGAGCTCCATGACTAATCAAATACCTTAATTTCAAATTCAGCATGTCTAGATCCAATTTCAAATAAATTCAAATCAATTTAATTGGCCCGTGATCAATTTCAAAAAAGGTCGATGACAAACCAAAAATTTGACGAAAATTAAATTTGACACATTTTTTTGACTCGATCGCAGAAAAATTGCTCTGAACGACCCCGGATGACAAAGTGGACCACGCGAGCGTGTCCGGAACGTCGATTCCACCTACGGAGAACGTTCATTTCACCGCAAACAGGTGTGGGGAAAAAAAATGCACCAAAAAATTTAAATAATAATAATATTATTATTATTATTTAAA